CTTTTGTTGAAAATGAAGTATAACAGCCTCTAAAGAGTTCTAGCTTTTATTATATTTTTTCCCAGAGTAGCCTTTAAGTTCATTTAATAGAACAGATAACGGGTCATGAATGTACCTTTGTGTTTGGCAGAAGGTAAGAGTATGAAACCAGAGCCAGGAGAGGTGACTTCACCTCCACACCCAAGCAACAAGAAGGATGACAGTTTGAAGAGGGAGAGGGACAACCAGGATATGAATGACTCTGATGAAGAAGAGGACGACGAGGAAGAGGAGGGAGACCTGCTGGAGGAAGAGGAGGTGAGGTTTGCAAATGGTATTCAGAGGGAAAGGAATAAATGAATATGGGTTTTTTTAGGGGGACTTTTTATTCAAATTCAAATTTCAAATCCAGCACTGGACAGACCTGCTATGTGCATCATGTGGTATCAAGCATCAGACACGTTTGGGATGGGTGAGGGTGGCTGAGTGCGTATCTGTGTCAGTGTACATGCGTGTGTGTATCCGGTGTCCTTTCAACCAGTTAAGCGAAAGTCAGCAGTCCGCAGCCTACGCAGGTGGCCTTGGAAGGATATGTGCGCAGAGACCCACAACAGTCTGATTATCAGGGAGAAGATTTTGTTGTTTTCAGCCAGCTGGCCTGATGGGCCTTCTAGCGACATGAGAAGCCAGATGAGAGAAATGATGTTTTGGTTTAGTGCGAACGAGCTGCCTCCAATGCTACAGCCTGTCTAAATGTCCTTCACTGGTCACCAGGTCTGTCAATTTCCCGCTAAGCTTCTCCAAGATCTTATCCATGTGGCATTCAATAAGGACAGTCTGAGTACTCACAGCCCGCCCCATCGCTTCGATCATAGCAGCCAGCCTTGTGGGGTTTTGAACAGCTCTAACCGCTTTCTTCAGTCTTCGATAAGCCAGCTCCGATCGGCAAGAACCCTGTTATTATGGTTCTGAATAGGTAGAAATCTTCTATGTCCTCGATCGACAGTCCCGGGAATCCCAGGCACACGACGCGCCACTTCTACCACCCATCCAGCAGGTCCCTCCAGGACATTCGGGCTCTCCTTAACCCAGGCTTGTGTTCAGGGGCCAGTGGATCAAATCCATATTCTTTAGGTTTTAGAGAACAAGACTGAGAGACTCTCTGGGATAAAGTTAGACAAGATTACACAAGGGCATAAGAAGCCAAGCAGGAAGAGATGCGTCTGCCTCCATCGGAGCCGACAGCAAATTTTATTTGTAAGAAGAAAGAACTTCATGTTTCAGATTTTCTCAAACTGCTGACATGTGAAGTCATTTTCTGAGAAATTTTATGGCATCGGGTTTTATTCATTCATTCCTCATTACCTTAAAACTGGAATTCATGTGATTTAAGTCCGCTAAGCTACAGTGAGTGCTCACTTGATCCAACTCAAGTCTGTCCCCTTCGCCCTCCGAGTTAATGGTTCCATGTGCCATCATGCCTAAGTATCTCTCAAATGGAAGCTTAGGAAAACCAAGTTTTAAATCTCTCTTAATATTCTAAGGAGCTTGGAAAGAAAAGTGACTGGACTTAAGTTGCTTGAAGACATTTTGCCTCTCATCCGAGAAGCGTCTTCAGTTCTAGGGTCAAATAGTGGAGAGTCCCAGATCCACCATTCAACCCTAGAACTGAAGACGCTTCTCGGATGAGAGGCAAAATGTCTTCAAGCAACTTAAGTCCAGTCACTTTTCTTTCCAAGCTCCTTAGACTACGATGACCTGGATGACTGAGAGCCTTCAGACTCTCTCAATATTAGCGACTGCTACAATATATACTGCTCTTAAAAAGAAATATTAAGAAAATGTCAATCATTTATTGTATTGTGCCTACTGTTTCCGTTTCAGCCAGAAGTTTTCAACATTTCTAAAATGATCCCGATCAATAAGATTTTTCTTCTTTTTCTCACTACAAGTTATAACAAAAATAGTAATTTATGAAGCAACTGTCACCTAGTGCCACATACAAAAGTTGTGTAAATGTGTGTGGATGTTTTTGTTCCATATCGTACACAAAAGTGCTTTTTCCTGTTTACAAATCTGCACAAAAGGTTGCTCTGACTGAAATACAACTATTAGCTTATCTCCGACTTTTATTGCTGTCCTTGTTAAAACCCATGCAATCTGAATCTGGTGTCTAGACTGAACAGAAAAGCGATGAGATTTTTCGTCAGGTGCATCTTTGCAGCATTGATGCCACCTGTCCTTGTGCTAATTTTAGTATAGTTTCCATGTTTTTCCCAAGGATAGCTGCGTAGTCCACCCCAACTTGTGAGGCACACCCAGTCATTTTCCATTATCGGTCTGAAATGAGAGTCCACTCAGTTCAGAAGTGCATCGAAGGTTACTCCTAGTAGGTCTTCAGGGGGTTAAATAGGGTTTCACAGTTATTCGATTTAAAATTTTAAATGAGAAGCTATGTAACTGGCAATTCATAAAAAGCTGTAGTTAGTCTACACTGTGCACAAAACGTCTCAGGTTTGAGACATTGATTTTCTAAATCTTTGCCTGCTTTCTTGTGCTTTTCATCAATTAGAAGCGACCCAAGACAGCTACACACACCCAGTAACTACACACACTTAGATTAGTGTTTGATTAATGTGGTTGCAGTTAGTTTCTATGTGCATCCCTTCATGTCACGTGGCAGTGCAGTGATAGAATTTATTATACTCCCCAGTTCACTAAAAGCCAATCAAATTGGAATTGGAATTTCTGTCAGAAAAATCAGTGGCACCCCTTAACAAAACACACTGCTATACAGTTGTTTTAAATGGGGGAACTATTCAGACGCCCAAACTAGTTTTTGTACTGTGCTGTACTTGTAGAAGGCCACAGTCATGTGACTTCCAGAGGAACTGTTTAGAGGAACCACTTGTGCATTTGCTTCCTTCTCAGTCCCAGATGCTGCTTGATGATGCTTTGTCACCAGTGTTAATTTCTGCTTACGGTGTTTATGCTTTCTTGATGTGCTAATTTCAACCTCACCTGCTGCTTTAATTACTACCCCTTTAGATCAACAAAACAATGCAGTGGATAAACTTCATGACTTTTTTTCAGATTTATTTAAATTAGTTTTTTGAAATATCCGAATATGATTTATTTTTTCATCACTTATTAAATTGTCTGCAGGTGAAAAGTCAAGAGAGGGATGAGGAGGAAGAGGAAGAGGAGGAAGGCGAGCACGTGGAAGCAGACGATGATGGTGACAGCGTGAATGGAGACGAAGACTCGTAGGCACAGATGACAGCCCCGCATGCGGTGTAGTCGCAGCTTCCAGAAGGACATCGGACTCCTATTTTAACTCTAATATTGTAGATATAGGAAAAAAAACAAAACGTACACACACGCACATAAACACACGCATAAGCATGGTGCACACACTCTGTCATAATGTCCCTAAAGGAGATTTTTGTTTGCGTATCTTGCCCGTCATCCGGTACCCCCTATTTACAGGAACTAGTTGTAGGTTTGGGTTTGTTTTTGTTTTTTTTACAGCGTCGTTACTTGTCTTCAAGAGAAGGCACGAGTGTGGACTGGTGATGTTCTCAGAGACGACAGCTCGACGGACATGTCTTAATGTGAGGGCGAAAATTTCTGTTTAAAAAAACCAAACAAACGTTTTTAGCTTCAGTGTGTTTTGTTTTTCTCATCAGTGAATTAGTTTGGCCTTGTCTGTCTGTATGTTACTGTCAGTTTTTATACTATTCAGTTAAACTGTAAAGGAATAAATTGCAATAAAATATTGAATTTGCTTTTGTGTTTTGTTTGGCTCGACATGGATCTTTTGTATTGACACTACAGAGATGTTCCTTATCTGGCTTCACTTGATTCAGATGTCATGATTTCCATTTACATGGTTATCACTTCAGTAAGTAACCCAGGGTTTCCTGGTGTAGTCAGAAGCATTTTCAGCATATTTTCAAAGGGAAGAGGGAACTAAAGTAGAAAAACATGAAGTTGAAAACCAAAGTTAAAGCATCAGTGTGAGTGTGGGGGATTGGAAAAAGGTTATACAGTTTTTTTAGCTCTCTGAATGCACAATAAGTTGAAGCAGGCATGCTGCAGAAGAACAAATCATGTGCAACTCCTGGAAACTGAGGCTATGATTAAAAACTGATCTGAGAAAACTGGACAACAGGAGATGGGGGGGAAACATTGCCAGTTTTTGTTTGGGCTGCTACATTCTGACTATAGGGTCAGAATGTGATTATTCCGGCAGGATAGTGTGTGTGTGTGTGTGTGTGTGTAACAAAGAAACCAGATGAGATCAAGTGCTCAAGTTCACAGTATTCAAATGTTTCCAGTGTGATACTCAATTTGTGCCACAAAGACTTGGAGCAAGCCATCAAGCAAAAGTAGTTCCAATGAAATACAACACAAGGTGTGCCTATTAAATTGTGCAATGAGCATCTGTTACTGTGACACGTAGCACAACCACTGCTTTGTTCTAGCAGACTAAGGTATTTTATGGTTTCTGTCAGATGACCATAAGCGCTTAAGTGTGCAAATCAAAATCAAATGAAGTTGTCATGATGTCATAAGCAGTGCACCACTCTCGTCATGGTTACCGAAGTGACTTCAGCAAAGGATGCAATGGCAAACCTGCTGTCTCAAGATGCATTTTAGGGAATTTGGACATCCTTCACAACACAGAGTGCATTTGTATTTGATTGTTTATTTATATCTTATAGCTTATTTAAAAATTAGCTAGAAGCTACAGGTTGCACAAATCATCTTTTCTCTTATGAGATCAGTGTGTTATGCAGTTATATCATCATGCTGTATATCATGAATGCGCTGAGATTCCCACGAACAATCATAAACAGCTGTTAGTCAGCTTGTGCAGAATGTTACTTGTATGCACTGAACATACAAGTAACAAAATGGGGATGTACCCGATGTTTCTCACAGCCAAAACAGGGCGGTGAGAGGGAAACGAGATGACATTGCAGTGATCAGTTTTGAGAGATTCAGTACCGTGTGTCTCTCGATTTAACCAGATGAGGTTCATTTAGACATCAGTCACACCCTCATCACCACCAGGAAAGATTGTCACACTGTATCTTAGGGGATAGGATTTGTTGATTTCACTGTACCGTGTCCAGAGATGCAGCTCATGAGATAAGACCATAGTTTAACTTTATTATAATTAGCTTCAGTTTCAGTAAGTTTATCTTTTAAAAGATAATCTACAATCAGTACACATATCTGTTAAACAAAACCATCTTGCCATTTGTCTAAGTATGCTTACTTGTAGGTGTGTGTATGTAAGTCACATGCATGAATATAAAAAAAAAAAATATATATATATATATTTGGTGACTAAATCCACACAATTACTTTGAAACTGAACAACATAACATCTTCAAATTCAATAGATACAAAAAGTGCAAAGGAAACATAAAACATTTCACTATTAGTTCAGTAAACATGTCATAAATAGCTTGACACTCAGATTTTCTGGCTTTGCAAACCAGTCATCTTCACCGGGTCACAGGTTCTTCCTCTCTGCACTCTTTCAGGCTGTCTTCAGGACGAACAGCATGAGGACAGTTAGCAGGAGTGTCAAAGCTGGCAGGGAGAAAAGACAAAAAAGCAATTATTCAGAAAACATCCGTCAGGGTTTCTGCTGGTTAAAGTTAAGATATCTTTAATACCACATGGTGCAATGTGTAATTATGCATCATAGTCATTGCTAAAGAAAAATTCAGCCAGGACAATATGGGCTAAAATGACATATTATCCCTGCTCTTTCTGTTGTATAGCAAATTTATTGTCATGCATTTGCTCCATTAAAAGGGCCAGAAGTCCAATAATGGCTCCAGCAGTTTCTAAATGTAGCTGATTTATACATAGTTTTCATTGTCCCCTTAATCTATGGTAAATTATACATTACTTACTTGGAAAACTAATTTTTTTCTTCACCACTATCTTTTACTTATAACTCTAAAATGTTTCATATAAGAATTAACTGATTTATTAAACAATATTTAGTAACTAAAGCTTCAGAACTGGGTATTGTGAACTGTGAATCTTCATCACATTGAGCCCTAAATCTACAGTCTCAGAATAAAATGTGAGTGTGGTGTTTACCATGACTGTGAAGAGCGCCACTGGCTGAATTTTTTGTCGTAGAAGGTGATGCGGTGGTGGTGTTGGTGGCGGTGGTGGTTGTGGTGGCGTTTGCAACATTGGCGCTTGGGTTGGCGAGGTTCAGAGGATCGGTGGTTTTGCTAGCTGTGAAGGCCCCAAAATTGCCTGAAGAATAAAACATTGAAAATAGGGATGAGGATTCAATTTAACCTTCATTTACAGCTTCACAAATAATGTAGCATCTAACGTGTGTATTTATGTTGATAAGAGTAGACAACAAGTTACAGTTGAAGGCTGCTTTCACTGGACTTACTTCCAGTCAATGGTCCAGACCCAAGGATGACAACATAAGTGGTAGAATCAGCGCTCCTGGTGTTGGTGGCATTCAAATTGGGGACACTGAACTCACACTGGATCTTTCCATTGACTACCTGGCCTCGTATCTTTGTCACAGTCTGGTAAAAACAATTTGACCATCAGGTAAAGTATTACATTTTAAAAAAACCACTTTTTGTTGTGTTTTTTTTAGGGCTTTGATGACTGAATTACAGAGTATGCATTAAATAATTTTTAGGTTAGCAGCTTTTAGGAATGTGTTCTGATCATCTGTCAACCGTTCAACTGTTTCAGCTTGTTTGGTAATGTTTATCTGGATACGTTTTAAAAGTAGTTACAGTCTCACCGAATTAAATGTAGAGAGTGTGTTGTTGTTGATGTTGTTTCTCTGCCGAGCCGCGAAGACGAATGAAGCATTGTTAGAGCTGTTCTGAGCACAGATGTAAAGCGCAGTGGTACCCTGAAAAAGAGCAAGCAGTTTTAAGGGTTATATACTTCCTTAACTCACTGGTCTCACTTTTAACTCATTACTTTGGGCTGGACCAATAAAGACATAAACACATAAGCAGGTCTGTGTGAGCTTATAGAAACACAGATGTAATTGATTAACCTTGGTATAGTATTTCCTAGGTGCCTTATCCTTAACTTGGCCTTATCACTTGTATCTTAACAGCAGTATTTACATTTAGTTTGGTGTGAAGGTTTCACATCCTGGTGTGAATATTTGACTAAGCAAGGTGGTGGCTTTCATTAAATAAACCTCTCTCGGTTGTCTCTGAGATGACCGAACGTTTGTTGGATTATTAAATCTATATTTAGAACATGATATATTTTAAAGATATTTACTAATGGAAACCAATGCCCATTTCCAAACACAACCCTATTATTTAAGGGTTTTTTTCATTATGTACCAATGTCAAATATTTCATTAATTCTCTGACAGTGAGTAAACATTTCCTGTCAGAGGATTAATGGCTAGGTAATGGAAAAGTAGTTGAATGAAATTAATTTAAAAAAGAAATTGATAACATAGGAAATCAGTTATAATTATTGAAAAGGTAACGTGTAAATAAGTATAACTCTTCAGTAAATAATTGTTTTGGGTTAACATTTTGGTTTAAGTTAAACTTAATCATCGCTCTGGTTTTGTGTGCTGTGGTACCTGGGTTGCATTGGCGGTGAGCCCCAGTGCGATGTACCCAGTGGAGTTCCCACTGAGCTGGAACATCAGCTCGGTGCCGTTAGGAGCTGTAGTGTTGCCTGCAGCCACTGATCCAAAGAAACAGCTGCTGTTCCCAGCAGGGTCACAGTTGTCTGGGGTCTGTATGCACAGCTTACTAATCCCGCAACCTGTCTTTGTAATGTTTACCTAGTAGAGAGACACACGAGCATAATCCAAGTCACAAGACAGCTTAGCAGCTTCAACTTCTGTGTCAACACTTTGACGAAGAATAGCATCCCAGCTCATGAACTGGGAACAGCTGCTATTAGTTAACATTAGGTTACTAAAGGCTTTATGGGAAATGGAACTCTACCTTAAAAAAATTAGAAATGTATAAATCCCACAAATTCCATTAATTATATGATTTATAAAAGCCACTGTTTAGCCATATGTGACTGTTAGACTGTATGTAAAAGATGGCAGCAGCCACCACACCCATCTCGATTCTTGTCTCCCATGTTGGAGCCTCATTCTGAACATTTTTGCAACCGCCATTACACAATCCGTAACCTGCCCTTTTACTCTAATGTAGATCTGACCTCATTATGTATTAAATTAGTCATAACTTAGCATCTGAGATCGTGAACTCAAAAGAAACGCGCTTACTGAGTTCATTGATGGGGAGACATTTTTCCATAGACTTTTATATAATTAGACTTCTTCACTTCTCCTCCTGCTGGCTATTATTATGGATGAATGCTCAAGGCACTCCCCCTGCTTTTTAGACCCACTAGCATTTTTTCTTCTTCTCCCATGATAATAATAATTCTCAGAATGTATAAATATAAATAAAAGTTTAACCAAGCTAACCATGCGCTGTTCTATTTCACGCTGTAGATGCTTAACTTAAAAAGACAAAATTAGCAGTAAATTCTGACACTATTTCGTACAGTAAAACTCATTTCAGCTCCTAAATATATAAAAGTGTATGCTTAACAAATGCACTCCATCCGTGTAAATCACCATGGTCACAGTGGTATTGTGCTGGCAAAGTTAAATATAAACCAACCGTTGCATTAGTGGCAAATGAGAAACTGTCTGCTGCTTGGACCCCCGGAGCCACAAAAAGCATCACTGCGGCAATCAGCAGGCTCAGGCCTCGCTCCATTCTTTCCAGGAAAGCAAACAGTGAGAGAGCAAATAAGAGAAGAGCAGATAAGAATGACATTACATTCTACCTCAGTTTTATTATAACAACTTGTAAATTCAAAATTTGTGTGTAAAAGATGCACTTATAACAAAATGTTTTGTTCTAAAATACAGTTAAGTAAAAAGATTGTAAAAAAAAATGAATTGAAAAGAAAAAAAGTCCACAGGGCTGAAAACACATTTATACACAAATGTTCTAAGTACAGTCAGTCCTTTAAAAGGTAATAAAACACATTATGGTTTATCCAGACTGGAATATTGACAGAATAATTATTCATTTAAAAACAGAGCATCGTTCCTTTTCTTTTCCAGGGTTTGTTTTTTCTTTGTGTAACTAAAAATCGATTGTCAGATTATCTAAATAGTATTTCTAGAATTCTCATAATTAACCTGATTATGCTTTAAAGGATAATGACAACAAATGAAATAGAAGCAGGCATCCAGGAGAATCCAAATCTAAAATGAAATTAAATAAAGTTTGGAGAGACTTACTCGATGCTGTGAAGTTTAAATGCTGCGTTGAAGGATTGCTTTCTGCTCTCTGTGGGATGATCCGCAGTTCTGGTGATGGAGCAATGTGGAAGTAGCTTTTTGTTAAATAAGGGGCGGGGCTTGATAAGAATACACCTGTGTACCTGCCTGGGTGTGGGTTAGTTGTTTGCATTACTAAAGCAGTTTCTGTAGAGCAAGCCTTGCTAATGTCCTTGGTTTTTTCTTCTTTTACGATTTTCTGTTAGGAGTTGACTCACAAGGTTACTTTGGTTCAAAGTTTACTGCTTATCACTAAATACACTGTGAAATAAAGAAAACACGCATGAGAAGATAGTTTGGCTGAGCTAAATTAAATATAAATAAAAGTCAAATATTAATTAATTAATCGCAATCATTGTATGACTGTTTGTATGATTGTTCTCACACTGGATTCTCCTTAAAATAACAATGTAATATAAATTGGGCTTAGATAAGCAACTTCGTAAATATGTAAAACATCATTTTGCATTTCTTTTCTTAGTGTATGGGTTTTCAAACAAAGCAGATTCAAAGTGGTTTTTACTGCCAGTAAAGTCAATGACACACAGCAAATACACGTAAACACCGAAAATGAACTTTATAGGGCTTTATTCTGAGAAGTGGAATATTGAGCATTTACTTGCACTGTAAAGGAACATTTCCCCCCAAAGAAAACAACAATTCCCTTTTAAGGAGTTAGAGACGATGTCAAACACCCAGATTATTTGGTACCTTTATAAAGAATGTTGTGGCGTAACCACAGTTGCATCGTGATCTGACCTTCCTGTCAGCTTAGTTACACTTTTTGGATTTTTGTGTTCTTTATTTCCTTTTCAAGGAATTTCCTTTTCGTTTCTGGAAGTCTTTGTGTGTCATTACGTCACATGGGGTGTAGCTCAGGAGGGAGGGGAGGTCATCTACTGATTGGAAGGTTGTTGGTTTGATCCCTGAGTTTACATGCCAAATATCCTTGGACAAGAAACTAATCCCAAATTGCTCTCTGATGCATCCATCGTGTGAATGTGAGGTAGCAAGCACTTACAAAGCATAGAAGAAAGTGAAGGTGGCATGTTGTAGAAAGTGCTTTGAGTGGTCTGGGAGAGTAGCAAAGTGCAAGAATGAGTCTGTTTACCATTAGGATGATTTCATCCTGCTTAGTGTGACTTTTAAAAGAAGGGGAAAAATTAAAAAAGTAAATTTGACAAAAGTCCAAGATCTAGAATTAGTACCAGTCCATATGATCTTACATAGGACATCATTTCATATGAGCTTTCTTACTTTTCTCGTCCTAGAGAAATTCCATTTTTACTACAGTTCATTGGTCTTCATATGATTTTGTCCATGTCACAAACTTTTCCCCTGTGAAAGACTTAGTGAGTTGGATTTTGAAAGGTTTCATAGACCAAATTTGATCATCATATAACATCCTGTTACCCTTAATTGGATAAACAGCTAAGAAAATGGATAGCTGGTTAGATTTTAAAATATTTTATTAATAGGCGCATTTAACTGCTGATATTATCCAGACTAATTTTGCCGAAATCACACTTTTAATACAAAAACCTCATATTTTGTGGTTCCTGAAACCATATTTAGAGGCTTGTGGGAGTGTCTCCCCTGAGAATCAGACCACATTTTGTGGCGCCACACCCTGCATGCGCTGCAAAGTAAAGAGTTAATTCCAGCCAAATGTGCCCCTTTACAAAGAATGAGAAAGGTGTCTTTGTGCCTTAACAATAACCATATGCATTCCTACATTTAGGGTCACATTTCATAAGTTATTATTGTAAGAGAACGAGTGATTGTTTATCCTGAAACTAAATCTTAGAATGAAGCTTGTGTTATTTACCAAAAACAGCTTCTTAGCACTTCATCATTCTTACAGAGAATATAAACTATTTCCCACACTGTGGATAGCAGGCTTTTATGGCTGACGTGAAAACCATAAAGGGCACCGATTTGTTCATCTTTGAGGGCAAATTTAGATTGAATTTGTGGAAATTAAATATAACTAAAAATTCTTAGATTGAAAGTCTACTTATAAGCTTTTGGAGTTAGTAGAGGGTTTAAATACAGCGGGAAAAATATTTAATTTGATCTCCCGAAGAGAGAGACAAAGTATGAACCAAAAACCCAGAAAGAAACACATTACATGAAGGTTATAAACTTATTTGCAGTCTTTGAGTCTTTGTAGTTTTTTGTACTGGGTCACCAGGTTTGTACACATCTTGGGAGGGATTTTGGCCCACTCCTCTTTACAGAAGCTCTTTAAATCCATTAAGTTTCCTGGCTGTTATTTGGCTTGGTCCAACAGATTTTTATAGGCTTGAGGTCTGGGCAATTCATAACCTTAGAGTGCTTCTTTAGCCACTCCTTTGTTGCTTTTGCAGTTTAATTCATTATCATGTTGGATGACACATCCACGAACCATCTGCAATATTCTGGCTGTTCTCATCTAGATTTTACAGAACATGACCCTGCCTGTTGGCATTTCAGTGTGGGGAAGTCGTCTGCATCTTTAGTAGATTCATATATCAATTTATATAGATGTATTATTTAAAATATTTTTTTTACGTAATGTGTAACATAATATGTTTTTTTCTGGATTTTTTATTTTTATTTTGCTGTTGTTGATTTTCTGTCTCTCTCCAATATTCATTGTTTTCTTAGTGAGTAAACTTAAACAAATTCGTCAAGGGATCAAATAATATTTTCCTGGATTGCATAACAAGGTCTTAACCTTATCGCTGTTATACAGAATTAGTACTGAAAAAATAAAACTGAATTAATGTAATGACAGACTGACAGACAGACGTTTTTACAGCCTAATACTGGGAATGTACCTGTAGACTGCGCAACTGTCAATATCTGCCAGTATTTACCTTGCACCAGGAAATAAGCTACCAGTGGCTGATGTTTATCAGTTTCCAAGTATGAAATTTGAGCCTCTTTTTTTGGTAACTAACAATACTTTGTCCTGTCATTAACTACAGGATAAACTTATTTAAAATACTGGCAGTGGTGCAGAACTACACAGTGAGCGAAACTGATTAATATGACATTTTAAATGTAAATTACAAATCCTTTTCTAAACAATGAAGCTACAGTCCTGTGCAGAGGTTTTAGGCAGGTGTGAAAAATGCTCTAAACAAAGAATGCTTTCAGAAATATAAATAATTGTTTATTGGCCCTGAATGTATTCTGCAGCAGGACAACGACCCCAAACATACAAAGTCATTAAGAGCCATCCTCAGTGGAAAGAAGAACAAGAAGTACTAGATGTGCTGGTATGGCCCCCACAGAGCCCTGATCTCAATATCATCGAGTGTGTCTGGGATTACACGAAGGGACAGAAGTGTGAGGAAGAATTGATGCTGTTTTAAGGGTAAAGGGTGGTCACACCAAATACTCATTTGATTTAGATTTCTCTTTTGTTCATTCACTGCACTTTGTCGATTAATACCTGCACCTGCCTAAAATGTTTGCACAGTACTGGATGTCAGTCAGGTGATGTATACATCACAAAGTTGATTATAAGGATGAGGTCAGGGCAGGGATGGGAGAATACAATAGTGGACTCTAGCATGGGAGAGGCCCAGTTGTTTTCTAGTCTACTTCAAGCCAAAAGTCAACATTTTTAATTTTACTACATTTTTTTTTATTGCGTATTTTATTGTAACGACAATAACAAAACTCCTCTAAACTTGACAGGACTTATTTCTTCTTTGTCTAAAAGTAAAGTTGCCCTTTTACATACACTGAGCGAAACCCTTGCCATAGTAATGTCATCCTGTATCTGCTATTTTTCAAATATAATTTTGTTTGCCTCTGTCATAGATTGTATAGAAAAATATATTTTACACAGTTTATGGTCTGTGATGATATAGCACTAAAAAGTCATTCAGGTGTGGTGGTATTGTTCCCTCAAATCTAATCTGCCCACTTTGGCTCCAGGAACACTTGACTTAAGTGGCTAAAGAAATGTCAGAGTACAGATCCATTGGTAATCTTATGTCTTAATGATAAGTTAACTGATAAGCAATCTTTAAGAGAGCTATTCAGAGGCAGGATGGCTGGTATAGGAAGAAAAGGTCAAACCATATCTCCTTTGTAATCTGAGATCTACTTAAGGTTTGAAAGGTAAATTCCCAGCTGCAATTTGACGTCATGTGACTTCATTTTACTAAATACTCTTCTTCACTATTCTCTTTTCTTTTTTCACATTTAATCATTCATCTAAATTTTTTAAATGTCACCATCTAGGAAAAAGTGCCGAATGATTACAGTAAACTGTTTATATGTACTTGGGCAAAAGAAAGAGTATTATTTCATTTATCATTCTGTTTTAAATATATTTGCTTTCATGCAAGTCAAGTACTAGTCTGCTTTTACTCTGAAGGTCAGGAGGGGAGTGGACCATGAATCCTGAATATGGTCAGAATAAGGAAAAACAAAATCGCTACGGTTGGGGCATCAGAATACGCTTTTTCTTTAGGGGGTTAAGCAAAGTACATTTGGTTAAGACAGGTTTAAGTGGCAGTGACCCTTCATCAAACACACTGCAGGGCTGATTTCACCCCCCCCAATGGGCTAACACTCTGAATAACTCTGTTTACTCTGCAGGTCTGAACTGTTTCACAAAAATACAACAGTCAAATAAGCCGTGCCCTGTGCCGCCAGAGAGACAAAGCAAACACCAGGACTCAAAGTGACACCAGAGTAGAGTAACGCTGATTTGAATGGCCACTGAGCCAAGATATCACGAGCCCGAATGAGGTCATTGTGAAAGAGCTCATTTACTGCTGATTAATGTGCAATGGCTGTGATCTGTACATATGATCAGCATAATTGATGATCTCATAGTATGAAAAAAATGGAAGTCTGTGGAATGTTCCAGCTTAAGGAATGCCATTGTTGGTCACGTCACATCTCTGATTCAGCCTGTAGTGTCATAATACTGAAAGGACTGACCTGAAATACTGGACAGATGGCTCCTAAAGATGAGTAATAGATTTTGTTGGTCTGCTTGTTCTTCCTCTAGTTTACTTTTACAAAGTTAAACTCATTTATCTTTTGTTTAAAAAACAATAATGTTTCCATAATATAGTCAATACCACAGATGCACATATCTTACTTAAATAATTTGTGGTTCAAGTCAGGGGGCGTCAAACAAAAGGCCCAGGGACCAAAATGGGTCTAGCAAAGACTCTTATCTGCTCAACTGGACAGCTTTAAAAAATGTGAACTATAGAAACGTCTGTTTTGTTGTTGTTGTTGGGGGTTTTTTGAATCACAGTGGGCTGTCTGTGGCCCACAATGTAAAAGGAGTATGTAAGTAATAAAAGTTTAACATAAACCAAAAACTACATCTTTTATGAGCTTTTTTGTTTTTAATTAACTCCTTTAACCCTTACACATAACATAAACCTAACCCTATTGCTTGCTGATCTGCTGGGATTTTCTCAGTCAACCATGGCTTAAGTCTACAGAGAACAGTCTAAAAAAGAAAACATCTCCAATGAGCGGCAGGTCTCTCGGTAAAAAAACAAACAAACTTATTGATGCCAAAAGTTGGAGGAAAATGGACAGATGGCTTTAAGTTGAGAAGGTAGGAAGGTAACAGTAACTCAAATAAACACTTGATATAACCAAGCTCTGCAGAGCATCTCTCTGAATGCACATGTCACTCCTTTAAGCAGATGGCGTGCAGCAGCTGAAGATCACACCAGTTGCTAATCCTTTGAGCTAAGAACAGGAAACTGAGGCAACAATTTGCACAGTTTTACCAGAATTTGATGACAAAAGGCTGAAAAAAAAGGTCCCTGGTTGATGAATCTTGATTTCCGGTGTGACCCTCAGATGGTAGGGTTAGAATTTGACACAAACATCATGAAAGCCTAGATCCATTCTGCCTTGTATCAATGGCTCGGGCTGGTAAGCAAGGTGTGATGGTGTAGGGGATATTTTCTTGGCCCCTTTGTACTAACAGGGCATCATTTAAACCCCACAGCCCAAGATGTAGCTTACAAAGTGGCTGGTGAGTGTATATACGCCTGAAAAAACGCCCCCAACTTTTATTCTACAATAGAAATAGAAATGAAGGAGATCACATACTACATCCACTTCAGTCACATTATTAGCAACACGTTGATCTTGTCGAGGCTAAAGAAAGCATTAACACACACACACACACACACACACACACACACACACACACACACACACACACACACACACTGTATGTTATACAATACTAGCAGCAGAGAAACAATAGGCACATTGTTTACTGTTTTGTCATAAACTCTTTCCATTTGTCATGATGTTGAAACTCTTCCTCATTTTGAGATAATGATCACTTGTTATGTGTAATAACACGAGGTATGAAGCGTAAGAACGTTTAGTCTTTGAGGAAAAAATATCACGCTGTTCCCTTTTCTTCATCACGTTTGACCAGTTTTCCTGCAATCAGATCTGTTTTGAGTTAGGCTGCTGCTGTCTTCAGTAAACACACTGGTGCTTTTCCATATGACTAAATATAGCCTTCCTACCTACTTGACATTTAATTGATTAAAATAATCAGTTCCTCCCAGAGAGGAAGCAGGAATTGCTGTAACACCTTCTGTTTCATTGTAGAGCAGCACACCACGTTTAAAAAAAAAAAAAACAACCCTTGAAATGATCCCAAATCCTTTGCGATAATAAAATAAACAACTGAGATAAGAACATACTGGTTTCTCCTTTAGTAAACACAGCCACAATTTACAAGATAGTAAAAAGTTTTACCCTGTTCATATTTAGCCTTCTACTTATTAACTTGACCTCTCAAGGACTCAGCTGGTCTACAGTAACACAAGCAGCTTGATCACTGAGTTGCTTTTAATGTGCCGCAGAAAATAGCTGAGATCATCATGGTGTTAATGCAGGCTTATCACATGGTTACAAACCATGTGATAAGTATTGTGCTTTGTAAACACTTTTCCCTTATGTTTAATTTACGGTTTTATGTCATAATGCGGCTGTGCACAGGCGGGAAAGGACCCAATTGCACACGACACAGAGGTGGGAAAGTGAACTCAAAAGGCAGCTTTATTGCTGACACAAGTGGAAAACAGTACAAAACTAAACTGGGAAAATATAAACTAAACACAAGGAGAGGCACACAAGGAAACACACAGCCGTGGATGCGGAGATTGCGACATTGGCAGAGAAACACGGGGCTTAACTACACCGAGGAATAACGAGGGGAATGCGACACAGAAGGAAAGCACAGCTGGGAGTGATTAGGCCGGACGAGACAAGGGAAAGAAAACTAGAAAGACTGATATGAGACACGGACCTTCAAAGTAAAACATGAAAAGCACCGATTGAACTCTAAACACGTAAACTTAACAGAGACTGGGGAGACAGAACAGAGGCCTGAAGCGTGGGACAGAACGGCACAGAGTAGACACGGAACACAGGGAAGCCATAACAAAACCGAAGAACGAAAACTTTAACAGCCATAACCGAACCTAGAGTAATACTAATAACTTAAATAATCAAAACAGCCCAACAAAGGACTCAGAACATAAACCATAATATAAAATACCAAAACACAAGAGACTCAAAATGCTGGGTCACAAAGACCCAGGAGCGTGACACTTTATTAAAGGCTGGTGAACAGATAGTTAATTTAAACTATATATAATTTAACAGTTAACTAACAAATCATTTTTAATTGACCCATCACATTCCTCTCACAACATTTTTAGGGGATAGATTGATTTGGCAGATTTTTCTTTTCTTGTTTCAACATCAGATGTCCTTCCTGACACAACCCCAAAAGCATTTGTATCTCCTCCCAGAGCCGAGCCAAGGCTCTTTTCTTTGTTAGGCAAATGTGCAAACCACTGTGATCTGTTTATAACATAAATAATGCAATCTATTAAAAGTGGTGATGTTATATGATGGCATTTTAAACACCCCCAATAGGTCCCAGTTCCTCCAGTCTACACATTAAATTGTTCAGGTATGAAAGAGTGTGTAAAATTTGTACGGAAATGTAGAGTGCTTTTGGCGGTAACAACACTGCTTTGTATAATGGAAATGTAGCTTTTAAAGACGACAGAGTATCTCTTAATTTGGTTTTGGTAAACTGCAACGACTTTGATCGCTTTATTTTGAACCATCTGATCAACACTGTAGCTATGGTATACACCATGAGAGCTTAGAAACTCTTGGACTTTAACTGTGGAAGTGAGATCCATGACATCTGCTTCAAGGTTATTAGGTGTAGCAGAAAGGACACAAAACAGACATTTTCTCTTTTTGTTTACTCATGAAAAGCCCAGAGGAGTAGAAAAGACCCATGTAAAAACACATACAATGACTATACACAGACTGAGACACCAGTGGTGAAAACACAGAAACAAAGTACCATCACTAAAATGTAGCGGCATTAAACCTGAGAGCATGGGCATGGAGGAAACGACACCTGGTTAAAGTGCTCTGTTTGAAAAATCTGTGTAACAGGTGAGCTTTAAGAACACGAACAGGTATCACATGATTATTCTATCAGCCTGGCACAGTTCCAGGGTGTGTTTTACTTTTGTAATTTAATGACTCAAAGTCAAACTGGCTTTTTTGTCATATAAAAAACAATTTGGAGCATTTCTGTAAGAAAACCTTGTTAAAACATACAAGTCATACAAGTTTTACTTTCATACACCAATAAAAAAACACAGACACTGTGTAACATATTTTAAATAAATACAAAAAAGGTTATATGATGTTAGAAGTCAGTAATAATCATGACTGGTTTTTTTGTCATTTATCCTGTGTTTAATCACCGACTTTGGTTGATTGTGTTCAACAGAGGAAGGAGGGAGCATCTAAAGCTAACCCACCTAAATCTGCCTAAACAAATGCTGCAATTACATACTGTCAGGTTTATATGGTTGATTGTCATTTATGCTTAGAAATATTTACTCATATATGCTTAGAGTTTAGAATCGATGTCATATTGATAGGGGTCTGATCCTTAGTAGTCTGCAAAGACTCTGTGTGCCTTCCAGACTGTTCTGGCATTCACACCCACATCCTGGGAGCATGGGAGAGGTCATTAAGAGGTCATACCTTCTTACTGTTTCATGGTAGGATAAACACATCTATATCTGTTTTAGTCTAAGTGCCTTTTGTTTAGATGAACTGCTGGACTTCCAGACCAGCAGGTTTAGGGAAGTCATTTATGGGGTCACATTGCTGACCACACACACACACACACACACACACACACACACACACACACACACTACCACACACACACACACACACCACACACACACACACACACACACACACACACACACACACACACACACACACACAAGCACAGGCAAGGTACTTCTTTGTGTGTATGTATACGTCATATGTTAATGAACCTATGCATACTCATGTAACCTCAATAAAGAGCAGCGTTACGGGGGGAGCGGACGAGAGCATCTGGGGTCAAGCGAAGTAACGGCGTTTGTCCAGTTCTCTCCCGTGCACGAGAAACATAAAGAACTTTGCCTACTCGTGTCTTGCTTTGCTGTGTAGTTAAATTGTCTTGAACGTTCCAGCGAATAGGTTTAAGCTACAAACCCATCACATACAAATACTGCAATTGCAAAACATACATAAAACATCTAAATGTAGTGTCTCTGAAGCTGTGGAAAATAAAACGGGTAGGTATAGCACGGGCTGCAAATCATCCCGACTCACCAAATCCAGCCATTGACATGCTTATTATTCAGCTGCAGAAATGTTACAGAGTGACTTCAGCCACATCTTAAATGTATTACCCTCCCCTTACTTATTTTTACTATTATCCATTTTAGTGCATTAGTTAGTCGACTAGAAAGTGCCGATGGCCTGTAGACTACTTTCTGCTAATCATGCCACAACGCACTGAAAGCTTTTGCAAGAGTCATTCTGCAGGTTGACTGTATGGCAGGACCTTAAAACATCTGCCCCTCCAAATGCAATGATTCATAGGAAGTCTTAGTGTCGTGTCTCACAGTGTTTGCAGATAGACCCCCTTACATTTTCCCACTCAAAGGGAGAAGCAAATGAGTGAAACAGAGAGACTAAATTCAGAGTTTGAACCTATTGCAAACATTAGCACGCTAATCGTCACTGTATTATGTAGTGTGTCAGTATGCCAAAGGCTTAGCAGCGGTTGGTTATTATTATTTTTACTGATAACTGTCTAATGATAACTTCTAATTCTAATTTAGCAGATTTACTTGTATTCTCAGGTGTCATAATTGATTTGATTCCATGTGAAGTGATGTTAGTGTTGATTTTATTTATTTATTTATTGTTTTTGCATTTGCCATGTTTTATTGGGGTATTTATATGTTGTATGTCGAGTTATTTTTAGCACTGCACAGTAGCAGAAGGTAAATTTTCCTCTGATACAATAAAGTTTTACCTTTGACCCAACAGTCGTGCTGAAGGCATCAAAGTCATTAGAGTTATCATCTGTGGATCACACAAATCCCATGAAGACACCCGTACTCATCACATTTGTAAGAGGTGTAATCAAGACGTTCTGGGAGTCAAAAATCAAAAACCAAATATGCTAAAAAATTTCAAGACGATATTCTAATGCATCTCTGGACAGCTCACAACACTGCTGCTGGCGTCCCTACATCACTGTCTTATTGTCAAATGACAAAAATCAGCTTCTTTTTCAAACTGTCCTGACTTTCAACTTGAAGCTCCTCACAGAGCATCAGGTCAGAAGTGGGACAACCCCTACCCCCCACCCCAGTAGTGCTACTGTTTCATCCTTGTATCTGCGTCATTAAAAGGAGTTCAGTTAGCCTTCTGCTGCTCCTGTTTGTAATGTACGCCTCCATGTACACACAGCTATCACTGGTTTACTGCAGTACTGTGAGAAACCGTAGATGCAGTGGATTTTCTTGTTGAAGTAACACACTGTATGTTTTTGTTGGTAAGGCGGTAGATGTTAGAATTAAATGTCCAGTCCGTCTCGCAGGAGAGCTTTGGCACGAGCTCGTTGTCCTGGTTGGCTGTGTTCATGCTCTCTCCCTCTTTCACTTCCTCTCCTCTCTCTGTTACTCCTCTGACTCTCTCCATCGTCTTTTCTTTTTGCCTTTGTGTCACCTCCCTCACCTCCTGCCCTCTCAAACTGCCTCCTTGCACTCTCCACCCTGCTCCCATGCTTCTCATCTCCCCTCTCCCTGTGCTCCCTCTTGTGGTGGCTCCTCTTTGAATACTCTCTGCTGCCTCCTAACTCTCTTTCTGACCCTCTCCTCTTCGTTGATGATATTTCGTGATCTTGGTGCGACTCCTTCCTGTTCTCAGTCTCCTGACCTTGTCTCTTTTCTTCTCTATTTTTTGCCATTTCAGCTCTCCAGTCCTTCACTCCTCTATCCTCCTCGCTCCCTTTCCTGCTTTGCCTTTCTTCGCCAGTTCCTCTATTTAGATGTTCACCTCCTCTTTCTACCCCTTTCTCACTGCTGCTGCTATGTCTCCTCTTACTGCTGTCCCCTGTTTTTACAGATGTACTTTCAGGTGGCTTCCTTTCTCCTTCATCATCCCTGCTGCTTCTTCTCCTTTCACTTCCTCTCTCAGGTTTCACTCGCTCACTTTTGCTGCCCTCTGATCTGCTCTTCACTTCCTCCTGCTCTTTTCTACTTTTATGTTTCTCTTTCTCTGTTGTTTTATTTTTACCAATATCATCGTTTATCTTGCTGACCTTACCATTACAGTTGTCATTTCCAGCTGTTATTCTGTTTTTGGTGTTTTTGTCTTGTTTGCTTTCTTTCTGAGACTGTTGTTTCAGGACTTCTTTGGCAGTTTTGCCACTTGCCTTGTTTTTCTCCTCTTTTTCCTCATCGGGCATCTTTTCTTTGGACTTGCATTTCTCTTTGTCTTTGTCGTTACTGTCCTCCTGTTTTTTCTCCTTTTCTTCATCTTTTCCTTTCAAGCTCTTCTCCTTTTTCTCCTTCTCATCTTTTTCTTTTATGCTCTTCTCCTCTTTCTTCACCTTTTTAATTTTTGAATTTTCCTTCTCCATTTCTTTACCCTTCTTCTCAACCTCTACAACCTTCTTGTCCACTTTCTCCTCCAGGAGGTCCAGCTCCTGCTCCAGCTCAGCCAGCTTCTTTGGATCAGACACCAAGTCGTCCTCAACCTCTACTTCCACCTCCTCAACCTCCTCAAACTCCTCCACCTCAATGCCGTCCATCGTCTTCTGCAGCTGCGTCTTCACCCTGTTGAGCTCCAGGAGGCCATCTTGAAGGTCTTTACATACCTCTCTGATCTTGGTGGCAAATTTGGTTTTGGCACCCTTGCGAAGCTCATGAGAGTCTTTAGCGAGGAAGAAAACATCCAAAGCCAAAAAGAGTGCCGACATGACGCCTGTGGTGACGCTGATGGCCTGAGCGGCCTTGGCTATGCCGCCTGCCCTACCTAAAACCTGCACGGTGCTGACGAGCTGGTTGGTGTTGATCATCAGGGCTTTTCCCGCGCGGCCTCCCTCTTTCATCACGTGTTTAATGTTGTGGTTCATAGCTTTTTTGGCAGCACTTTGAGCGTATTTCTCAAAATCCCACTCCTGCAGGGTGTCAAGACCTTTCTACAGCAGAAAAGAGAGACAATAAAGAGATGGATATATTTGATTTTAAAGTCAAACCTGTTGATAAAATATTATTGAGATATCATTTTTTTAACATTTATTAAAAGAATTATTATTTTCTTCTTAAAAGGTCGAGTTCACCAAAGTTAGGTGTTAAAGTTGGGTGCCCACGCTGCCCGCCCTCCTGCCCAACCAGCAGAGTGACGACAATACTCCATCAGCCTTTTACAGCCAAGGAGTATAAAGTACCAACCATACACAATCAGTTAAACATGGACTTAACTGACTGAATCTAGGCTAGATTACATCTCAGGGTGTCTAAATTCAGGGATACAAAACTCTGGATTTACAGTCCTAGGAATTTAAAACACTGCAGTCATTGTTGCAGTGCTGTAATGTAGTATTGTGTCACAGTAAACTGCCATATAAGCACTTGACCAGAGCAGCGCGTACCCATGCACAGGCGTTAACCTTTGAGAAAGAAAGGCTGCCACTTTATCCTCTTTGAAAAAGCCCAAATCAATACTTTTAAACATATTTTAATACCTTAACAAAACTCGTAAATAATCTTGTGAATAAATAGCACATACAAAATAAGGTTTTCATTGGATGCTTTGCAGTCCTGTGAAATTTAAGTACACGCTTACTGCCTCCATAGAAATAACAGGTGCTGCAAGTCAACACAGCTTGGAGCTGTATGATGCCACCTGCTGAGGGATCTGTGATACTACTGCAAAGCTTAAGAGATTTCAGCTTGGGCAGGCAACATGTTTCTTTGCATTTCAAAACAAAACAAAAAAAATCCATCATATTTTAGTAGGCTCAGGAATGTATTCTGATCTCAGAGAGTGTGCTTTAAATACTTTGTTCTTAACCTTTTAGAAAAAATCCCCTCACCTGCACAAACTCCATGCACTCTCTGAGGACTTTGATCTCCTCCTGGTAGCCCTGGATCATTTTCTCCATCTTCTTACGGTCCATGTTGGAGTGGACCGTATCTGTGATTTTAGCCGTCGCTGACGTGATGCTGCCTGCCGTCGCCACACCGATCCCCACTGCTGTCACAATAATAGAGGCGCCAAAAGTGAAAGGCGCCAGAATGAGGCCTGTGATTGTGGTGACGCTACCCGCGACGCTGGCCACGCCTCCGCCCACAGCGGCCGACACAGTCTTCTTATGGAACTCATCCGCAGCATCCGCCATAGCCAAAAGCTCCAGGATGCGATGCTGTAAGGACGCCCCGCGCTGGTTGAAAAGACGCACGAAAAGACGGGCTGCCATGTAGACGCGGTCGGCTGCCTGCTCCATCGCCCTGCAGAAACAGACACAAACAGAAACATTATTCTTGTCAATCTGCCACATAAAGTTGTAATTATTATTATTAATACTCGATTTACTGCTAAATTCAAGCCTTAAAGTTGTCAACAAATCAAAAAAGAATTATACCCTAAAAACAAATGCAAAAATCTCAAATATTATGTTTACTGGAAACATGAAGGTAAAGTTATTAAAAAACAGAAACTGTATTCACATTTCCTCATCCTCTGCCCGGAAATCAGAAGTCTCATTCCACTCCTTCCAACCTGGCAAACAGCAGCAGAAATAATACAACGAGTAGACAGAAAACATAAAAAATAAATAATAGTTCTCCTAAATGTTGAAACTAGGGCTGTGCGATATGACCAAAATCTCCTATCCCGATATAAGAATTCTATCGTCCGATAACGATATAAATCACAAAAATGTAACATTTTCTGTAAATTCTGTGAATCTCGGGCAGCTTGACTTGCGCGCCATGTAGCTGGAGTTGAGTGTTTTAACCGATGCATGAAACGATACATTTTTAGACATAAGTTGTAAAGGCCGCCGTTTTCTTTTCTTTTCTGTGCTGCAGGGAAAAGCCTGTTCTAACGTTTGAGTCTAAGGTTTATTTTTTAGCACCTGGCGGCTCTTTTTTAATTCTCATCTGCTCTTTCACGTGACTCAGTTTATTTTGAAAAGTCTCAACGGGATCTTGAGCTTTATTGTGAAAGGTTTATGTGGAAAATAAACAAGCGGACACGCGATGCTGTTACCGTCGTTGTTGCTAACCATAACGCATAAAAACAGGCGCTTGTCCGTCAGTAGTGTGGTTATATTAAATATAAGAGAAAGAGAGAACTTTAAGAAATTAATATAGCCACTACAGTGACCATCAAAACGACGAAAAAAATATTGCCGTAAACAGTTTATTTTGCGACACCACGAAACAAACGATAGCGTAAAATGAAACGATAGACGTTTTTATATCATCATCCGATATATATCGTTATATCGAACAGCCCTAGTTGAAACCACACTAACCTTTGACTGTGTTCCACCACTCCAAAAGCTCATCCTCTTCCTGAAAACAAGAAGCTTGAATGAAGAGACAACTCATCTGTCAAATACCATAAATGACTAACACTCACAAACTCTGAGGCTCACCGGCTCAGGTTCGACTGGGTTTTCCTCAGTCGGATAAGCAGCCATCTCCACCGGCTGAACCTCCACTGTGCTCTCCTGGAAAACAGATAATAAAACAGCTGTTAGTCGCCCTGTTGCGAGTTTCCTGTCAATTTAAGTGCCTTGAGACGCTTTTGTTGTGCACTGGCGGTACATAAATAAAACTGAACTGAATTCATGAAGGCGTCTCTTGATTGCAGTCTTTGAAAGTGATGTGTCAACTTCCTTTGATAGTGTTCTCGACTTGGCTCGATGCTATGATATTGGTTTTTTTAAAACCATGAAAAATATTCTGTCATTATGCACTTCAGTTTTCTTCAGTGGTGTTGCTGAGCTGATCATTGTAGTCGAATCCACCAGATTGTTGATTAGGTCACTCCTAATTTTTTTCCCCTCAGTCTCAGTGAGTTAATGCAACACTTTTGTTAAACCCTGTGAATTAAAGCTGATAATCTGAACTCCAGCCACATATTACATTCTGCTTAAAATCCACTGCGGTGGTGTACACATTGTAAATTACGATATACATATAATAACAAATACGTGACAGGTCCACATCAAAAGTCAGAGGTTATCCTATACAAACATTTCTTGTGTGAAAATTTAGAAAAATCTAAATTAAAGACAGTTGAAAATCATAGTTCTGGTTGGAGGTTAAATTAAACAATATGAACATCAAGTGGAGAATTTTAAAAATTTCATTCATGAACCACAATGAATATTTTAAGTTAAAATCTTTAATGCCATCATGCTGACCTGTGCTGGGCTCATCTCCTGCAACTCGAGAGTCTCCTCAATGCAAGGCATTTCATCTGAAGTCTGTGGAGGAAAAATGATGATGGTTGTCATAGACCACAATAATCTACACTGAAAGACTTTACATTTTACAGACTGACTGCAAGTAAATTATTAATAAATATAACTTTGGAAAATCTGGTGGAAAAATAAGGTAAAAAAAAAAAAAACGCCAACAAAACAAAAATAACAACAGACAGATGCAGGTACCTGAGAAGCCAGGCCAAGTTTGGGAATGTTAGGAAGAGTTTTCTTAACTCGGAATGACACAACCTGAAAGAAATAAACAAGAGTAATGTTTTATTTATTTAAGTGGAGCTTTGACATCAAAACTGGGAACTCAAATGGTGTAAGAAAACGTCTGGATATGCATTGATTATTGTTGATGAACTCCAACTACAGCAGCTGACACTGGAAGTAAAAAGCATACGTCGCACTGATCGTGCTTATTCCTCCTCGTATGCGCTCTTACTCGTCTTTTCTTTTTGATGGTCCTCTTGCGTCTCAGCCCGCCTCCTGCTGGAGCCTCCATGTCCTCATCTTCCTGCAGCAGACAACAGGAATAACTTATTTTCAAGAGAGATCGGCTAAATTTCCTAAAATGTTACTTGCCCAAATTATTAGCTTAAAAAGCTTAAAAAGTTGGGATTTTTATGTGATTGATGTCATTTCTACCTGTTGCTCCTCAGTTTTGGGCGTCCTTCTGAACATCCCAGTGATCCCGGAGAAGACGACTTTTTTCTCCTGTTAACAAAATAAAACCATGAGGCATTTATTTATTTATTTGCTAAACCTCAGAAACAGTGTTAAAATCAAAAGTCTGACCTTTGAGGTGCTTGAAGCTTCTAAAAGATTGTCATTACTGGCAGACAGCTGACTGTTTGCCAAAGCCGCCTCCTTTAAAAAGACAAATACAGTCTTATATAAACTATTAGCACTTATTTTGTGCACCAAACAGGGACAAAAATGTAAAGATTACACTATAATGTTTAAAACCTTTGATGCAGAGTCTCTCATCTAAACTTATATTTAGATTTGCTGGCATCACATTATTAATAAAGAGCAGAATATTATTTCTGTGTGCTGCGTCTTACATGCAGCAGCACAAATAGCCTAAACCAGACCCTGCATTTCCACAAGTAGAACTCCACAACACTGAGAAAGGATAACTTCCCGACCTGATTATCCTGACAGTAGTTTCAGTTGTAATCTTACCTTTCCTGCATCTGTGAGGCTGTCACAGCTGGCTGACAGCTGCCTCGAGAGGGGATCCTGGAAAAGAAATGCAGTGAATTCAGGGAAAAAGTCCAAATTATTGTATTAAATGATGAAAACAGTCTTTTGATTGATGGTGCTTTCAAAACTTTGGTCTGGTTGAGTGTGATGACATGACAATAAGATTTTATTAGCTGTGTGACATCTGCTTTTGTTTGTGTGTTTGTTTAAATTTTTCATTATTTGCATCCTTGTTTGAGCTGCTGTGGAATATTTTCAGAAGTGAAATAAATATAAATGACAGAAGTAGTGACAAATGCGAAGGAAGAAGCACAGTTTTGGCCTTAAAGAGTCATTTTCTGATAATATACTACATCTAACTCTGAAAAGCATAAAAATACATGAAAAATCCAAATGTATTTGGCACCTGAGTAGCGACAGAGCGTGGAGCTGGTTTGGGAGACTTTTTGAAGAATCCTGCCAATCCTCCTGCTTTTTCCTGAAATATATGAACAGTAAATAATTAAAGACATAAATGAGGGTGAAACAGGTCATGACTGTGACTGTCCAGATGTTCTGGTCCACATCTGTACCGTTGCTGTGTTTGCTTCTGACAGGTTTTCATCGCTGGTTGATAATTTCTGTTCTTCATCTGTGTTTGTTTCCTGAACAAACACAACATAAAGCATAAAAAAGACCAACACAAGTACAACTGAATATCTTAGAGTGTATTATAGTTATTTAAAGGGCAACACTGCACCTCATTTGCTGGTTTTGGAGCTCTCTTGAACATCTCACTGAAATGTTTTTCCCCCTGAAATCAGACAATTAACAATCTTGCTAACAGACAGTACAGACTACATCAGTTTCATAAGGTCTGTCTGAAAAGTAACATGGCTAACAATGACTTCTTCTTCTTCTTTTTTTTTTATTAGGATCAATATCTCCAAACATTGATTGGAGATAAAACAGTGTGTTGAACTGAGGAATCCAGAAGAGAGAAAACAAACATGAAGGGTAACTCAAGCACCAAGACAAAGTTAAAATGTTGATGTGGAAGTGGTTAAAGTGTGACGACATGAAATCCCACAAAGGAAACGATCTGACAAACAAATAAAAAAACAAGACAAGAATGAAGCAACTCAGTATGAGGTCTGCTTTTATACACAGTTTCAGGATTACACGGGATGCCGTGTGTGAAAGAGGAATATTACTGATTTAGCATAAACACTGAACGTAAAAAGCTGAACATGTAATCGCTCTGCGCCGGACTGACACTGACCTCATCCAACAGGTTGTCAATGCTGCCGGATCTTTTTAAAATTTTAGCCAGGCCTCCTTTTTTCTGCTAAAACAAACACATTTAAGTTACTTTTTAAAATTCATTAAAACATTCAGTAGCAAAAACTGTCTCAGGGAAAATAAAACAGGAACTTGACAACACGCCGACTTTCGATATCAGTAAGCCTCAATGTCACAGTGATTTATTCTAGTACTGTACGGAAAGTTTAACCCTCACTGAAGTGTACTTGCATAGTATTTTAATTTCCTCTTATACTTCTACTCCCTTACAGTTATTTGACATCTAAAGTTATTGCTTAATTTTCTTAAAAACACACTTAAGTTAGTAAAATAAAAAATAAAAAAAGCACCGTTCACACAGTGTGTGCAAAACGTCCTCACCCGAATATTTTACTCCTTGAGTTAAGTTTCACATAAGCGTATACTACAAGCTGCTTAGAAGTGGACTAATATGGATCCACGAGGACGTCAACATGTCAAATCGATTTTTTTTTTCAATTCAATGTGCAGTTGTGAAGATAAGATGTGATGTGTCCAAAGAATTCTTGCAAAAAGTGTAAAACAAACCAAAGAATTATATGTAAATACAGTATTTAGGACTTACTTTAGGATTTAAAAAACACAATAAAATAAAAAGGGACCTTTTCTGCTTAATTACTACTTCAACTGTAAGTACTTTAGAGTCTTTTCTGTGTAAGATTTTACTTGTAATAAAGATTTTGACACATCTGCAGAGGTTTTAATCATGTAGATTATTACATGTATCAATATTTCATGACACATATTTGAAAGCAGTAAATGACTCATTGCACTCACTGCATCAGATCTAATGTGTGTGGCCAGGTTTCAGTTCATGTTCACATGACAAACGCAGCTACAGTTGATTTTTGTTTTGTTTTTAAAGGAGAAGAAGGTTTTTTTGTTGTTTAAATCAAGTACCTTTGTGACGGTGTTGTCATTCACATTCTCACAGCTGGCAGATAACTGAGCCTCAGTATTTACCACCAACTCCTGAATTAAAAGCAAAGAACAATAAAAACCAACGTCTCCTCTGTAGCTTGGTGTTTGATTATAAGACCTGGTTCGTTACTGGTTTCAGTAAAAGTTGCAGATGAAGAGATTTGCCATAGAAGTTGGGTTTCTTTGTTTGTTTGTTTGTTTGTTTGTTTTTGTTTTTGTAAATCGCTGGACCTTGGTGATGTTATTGTCAGACAAGTCATCATTGCTGGCCAACAGCTCATCATGAAATCATGAACTCTGTGTGTTGGCTTGGTGACAGACTTGATTTGTCTATGGCACCCTTCCTTTCACCCTGTGACAACCAGGGTAGGCTTCAGCCCCCTACGACTGTAAATTAGATGAGCAGAAGAGGACAGACAGAAGGGAGTGTCTGACATGGTGATGCTTAACCAATGTGTGCATTCATCAGAAAGACCAAAGCAAAGCACTTCTGGAAGTTGTAGAGTATTTAGGCAATACCACCACAGTGACAAAACAAAAAAGAAAATCTTCCAAAATATGCATACGTATAACCAGGAAAGTATCACTATGACTGAATATGAAAAATAAGAGAAAAATTGTTTCCTGTACACTTAGCTTTTTTTAGTCTGCCTATGTCAAGTTCTGCTTGTCCCTGAATATAATAAACACGTCTTTGTCATTTCTGTTTTGCTTTCTCTGGTACGTTTAGCCAACAGCATATCTGTAATGCAGGGAACCAATTCTTAAACTGTAAGGCCTATCTATAGTAGACCTGAGAGGTCAAATGCACTGCAACTTAAGAAAACACCTCCCTTTCAAAGTGTTGACATTTAGATAGTGATTGTTCTCATTTATCACCTTCCCACCATTACCTTCACTTTGCTTGCTCTCTAATCCTTTAATTTACCTTGAAGCACACTCTCACGATCCAATTTTTTATTCCTGTGCACTGCATTTATACTCTTTTGTAAATATTTATTTGGGGGCTTTTTGCCTTTTTTGACAGGGTGAGAGAGAGCCGGGGAAGGGGACTCGAGCCCAGGTCACTGCATTTCAGCCATCAGGCATATAGGCACCTGCTCAACCAGTGAGCAACACTAGTACCTGAATTTATATTCTTTAGTAATAAATATAAACTTCACTTTAATTTACATTGTTTTCAACCAGTTTATATTCCAAATGTGGGGAGCATCTTTAAATAATCACTAACATTCATAAACCTTTCTTCTGTAAAACCTTTATTTGCTACTCCAATATAACCAGGGGTGCACATAAGTGGTCTGCAGGTGCGCATTCGCTGTCAAAATAAAAGACGCGCACCAGATAAGAAGTTGTAAGGCGCGTTTGCGTACATATAAAAGGCACTGTTTTGTCCGCTAGAGTGGGATTTTCACGGCATATTTTGCACCACATCTATGTGCGTTCATCATTTGTTTGAAGCCAGCTCACCTCCTGCAACCACTTTTCCGAGAATACGCGCTTCTTTTGCGGTTCGGACTCCTTCTGACATTTCTTTGGAGGTGGAGGAACACCAAAGTAATTGCTTAAAGGAGCTTCTTCGACATCTTTAAGAGTTCTAAACAAATGTCTGTCCTCCTCCAGAAAATCTTATGTACGCAAACGCGCGTTGCAACTTCTTATCTGGTGCGCGTCTTTTATTTTGCCAGCGAATGCGCACCTGCGGACCACTTATGTGCACCCCTGAATATAACCTCCTGCTGGCCTGTGAATCTCTTATCATCCTAACAAACCCCAGCTCCATCATCTTGGATCACAGCTGGTGCTGGTCTGATTAGAGTGGCCCTCCACCTTGCAGCGGTTGTCCAGAGCAGAAAAAAAGACTACTGTTGTCCGAGATGGTTGAGTGTGACCACAGGATGAGCTCCTCAGCAGTCCTGGTGTGAAATCTTTTATAATCCTTCTAGTTTGCATTATTGGGTGTGTGTCTGCTTTGATTAAAGGTTGGTGCCAACCTTGGCAGATGTAGCTTGTAGCTGTCTGTTAGGCTCCACCTCCTTTCTCCTATACACAGTAGAAAAAGGTTTTCACCACCAACTGGCATTTTCATCAGTCAGTTAGCAGTGTCTGGTTCAATCACCCTCAGATTTCTGGCTTCAGATATGAATATTATAATAACACAAAGTCCTCCAACGTTTGTTAAAAACTCTTTTTTGTTGACACTTTTGCCTCCATTATCTTCACTGAGCTGTTTACTCTTTTAACTTTTCTTAACACATACACTATAAACTCCATTTCCCCCCCACTTTACACCTTTTAGTATTTTACTGACCACCACATGAACCCTACCTGAGTTTCCTTCAGCTTAAACCAATATTTGCAGTAGTTCAGGTTTTTCCTACAGACGTAAGATTTAAGATGTTTGTGCGTGTGCATGTACCAAAGGTGCAAAAAAAGTATTTCTGCATGTGCATATGAATGGATTTGAGTGCTGCAAAAGACTGACTCTGAAATACATTTTTAAAAAGCCACTTTTAAGTTTCTCCTCTGCAAACATTTTAACTGTTGTGTATTTCATGATGTAGCAGAATGATGTAATTCAGCTGCCTCGCCTGCGAGTCTCATGTCACGTGGGTGAACTTGGACTGCATGGGTGCTGCAGCTCTCAGCGAACATCTAGAGCAGTATGAGGACATGCCGCGTTTCCAAGATGGTCGAACTGGAGTCTATTTAATGGTGGAATGAGATCCTCTATGGAGAAGAAGCTGAATGATATTTGCACTGCCACAGTAAAAACTAGTCTGGAACATAAGAGATGGGGGTAGGTTGGAAAAGTAAGTAGTGACTGAACTTTTAAAATTAGAGATGGACGACTGTTCCGCACTTTTTATTTTCTAATACAGACTAGAAATAGATAAAAATAAGTCTGCAAATGTATCTGGGTGGCCTCCCCAAATGCACACTAGTTATTGAGAGCCTGTCATTTAATAATTTCAGCGGTTTACACATCCCCTGCCCGGGCATCCCTTCTCCAGGAGTTTTGGGAAAAAAATTAATCTTTTCTTGGTGACATCAGAACAATTAATTGGAATTACATCAAGATAATATTAAATGATCCTCACCTTTGACTGGGCTACAGTCAGATCATCATTGGAGTTGGGTAAGTCACCATGCAGGGACTGCTGGTCCTGAAACAAAATTTTTTGTTTGAGTAGTTATGAAAAACATCATGGGAGTCAGGGAATGTTTTATCAGATTTTCTAACTGATCACTTTCAGCTTTGGCTTGTTTCGGCAACTTCTTTAACATCCCAGCATACCGTAGTTTTTTTTCCCTGAGACAAACAGGAACAGTATGCTCGTGCTCATTTATCACAGATCTCTGTGTGTACATTAAAATTCCACGTGACGTTATCTCTGCTGCCACTACAGCAGCTGCTGGACCTCACCTTGTTTTTAGACAGGCTGTCGCTGCTGGCAGAAAGCTCACAGTGGGCAATCAGATTCTCCTGAAACACCAAAGCCATTTGAGAGGGAAAAAAAATATACCGATAAACTAAAATGAATGTTTCTGTCCACGTATTTCTAACACAAATAAGTTAAACCATTATTTTAACAATTTAAATTGTTATTTTGAACAGTTCTGTTGCAAGCTCACCTGCGTTGGCGTCTCAGCGGCTGTTTTTTTTGGCTTTTTAAGGAAACCAAACAAGTAGCTTCCCTTTTCCTAAGATAGATTAGATAAAACATGATGATGACCACACATCTCCATCTTTCCACAAACACAAGAGAATTGATATTGATGATCTAAACGCATGTACAAAATTAGAGCTTCCGAACAAAAACAACTCCATGGCAGCTTGTCTAACTCCCTCCCTCGGCCTCTATCCTCTTGTGCAAGAGAATTTCCTCATTTGCTAAAGATAAGAAAACTTACATGAGACATCTCTGATGTTTTCTCCTCTTCTTCTAGGTCTTCAGAATTACTGTCTGCTTTATTGTCCTGCCCAAAAAATACGAGCGTGCAATTTGATTATCAGGTGATGGAAGCAGTAACCTAATCATGCGAGCTTATGTCTTTTGTGTGACTAGTTACGCAATACATGTGCATATAATCTGGTATGTTTTATGTGTATTTTTGATGATTCTACCTGATCAGTTTGAAGACTTTCTGTTGGTTTCCACCTCTTCTTTAACATCCCGCTGTACCATTGGTTTTTTTCCTGAAACAGACACGAACAGCATGCTCATGCTCGGTTATTCTACCCAAAGTCGGACAACTAATTTTGCAGGTAAGTATACCACTGAGCTGTATGTGTATACTAATTCCAGATAACATTATCTCTGCTGCCACTACAGCAGCTACAGGGCCTCACCTTGTTTTCAGACAGGCTGTCGCTGCTGGCAGAAAGGTCACTGTGAGAACTCAGATTCTCCTGAAACACCAAAATGATTTCAGATTTTAAAAAAGATAATAACACTAATATTATCCAAAAAGTTGATTCTGGACTCAGCATTTTCAGTGGGAGAAACATTTCGCCACTCATCCAAATGACTTCTTCAGTCTCGGCTAACTGCCTGTTTCCCCAGATGAAACAATGGTCTGATTGTTTCATCTGGGGAAACAGTCACTAAAACGTTGGAGGTGGTTTATGGGAGATTACAGGACCCCAACCTCAGCAACAGGACCACTCTCAGGACCGACCAAATGTGTTTGTGTCTTCATTCCACCTATTTCACATGCAAGGGTCAGTACTACAGACAGAAAAATGGGTGTGCCATGGGTTCCCCAGTTTCACCCATTGTGGCCAACTTGTACATGGAAAAAATGGAAAAGAGGGCTTTGTTATCCTACCCTGGAACATCACCAAGTCATTAGTTTAGGTATGTGGATGACACCTGTTCAGTTCAGTTCATTTTTATTTCAAACATATACATTCACCAACATTTCATAATATCATTCCATGCAGTTGTTTGAAAAGGAGTAGGCAGAAGTATGTATTTATTTAGCCCGACCCCCTCAGGTTTACATCTTAATCATTTCCTCGTCATCTAAATTTAAACAAGAAAAACGTATACAATGGTTTCAACTTTTCTCACATTCGACTAAAACTATGTTTAGATTTACTATTTTGCAAAGGAAAATAAACATCACTTTGACTGCTGTCTTGGGTTAATTGCATTTTCTTCATTCTTTTACTTATTTAAAATTTATTTTTTGAGTTTTATTTTAAACTGGTTTATATCACTACTGACTAGAGATGGACCGATCCGATATTACGTATCGGTATCGGTCCGATACTGACCTAAATTACTGGATCGGATATCGGAGAGAAATAAAAAATGTAATCCGATCTGAAGTATCACAAAATCACCTCACAAAACGCGCTACTTGGCGTAACCTAGATCGGCGCATCGGAGCAGTATGTGTCACGTGATAGAGCGGCTGTTTGGCGGTCTGTTGGAGCATTTGGAGCCTCGTACGTGCTTCCTAACTGCGGCATTTCATCTCGGCGAAAACTATCCCAGAGAAGTAAAGCAAGTGTGTAAGTTCATCCCTGAATGTTTGCATAGTATTTCCACGTTAAGCTTAACAACTGATATATTGAGCCACAGCTGGACTGGCCATCGGAGTTCCATATTGAGGTGAAAAGGAAGCGATTTGTCCCATACTTCAGCTAGAATTAAAAAATAGACACAAAGCTGGAGTTATTCTGGCTTTGCTGCGCAGTTGCATCTACTTCTCTCATTCCCTCCCCCTTCCTCTCCTGTTATTACTTCAAACATGAAACTGATCAATCATCAGCTGATCGGCTTTTCTGCCGCAAGTCCCGTCTTTCTTGTTTGTTTATCGCCCACTTTGTGCTAGAAAGAGGAGACCAGCGGCACGTTTAAGCGAGAAAAGCTGTTGTTAGAATGTATTTAACATTACTTTCTAGTATCAGCTGAGGTTTGCTGGAGCCACAGCTGTAAAAGCTGCTGGTCATGATATCTGTTTGGATATGTGGTGAGAGGGAAACATGAAGATGAATCCAGGAGATGTCCTTACTGAATCATCAGAGCTGAGCAGGTGATGGAGAAACAGGTTTACCTTTTAGGTGACATGAATGAGTTGAAGGGAAGTTATCAACTGTTTCTGAGAGACAAATAACACCAGGATCCTTTTTTTATGTAGCTGACGGCTGGTAACTGTGCAGGGGCGGGTCTAGCAAAGCTTTGTCAGGGGCCAGGTAGGGCACTAACAGGGAGAGGGGGGCACAAAGAAATATTTTTTTTTGTTATGTCATTTAAAAACTTTGAATAAATAATTATCTGAATCTTACAACAAAAGTGGTCATCTGATTAAATGTATAGAAATCCATTATTGTATATAGTAACTAATAAGTCTAATATACACCCTAGTAAGCTATAGTACTTTTTCCTTTGGGAAGGTACCATCTGTGCAGTCTGCAATTCTGTTGAAGCAAGATGTTGAATCTATTTAAATATTGAAGAAAAATAATTGATTTCTGTGCATTTGTTTTACACTTGCATTAAATTAAAGTTGATTACATCGATTAAGGGCGGGGGGTGGTTCCCTAATATTTTTGCTGGGAGTTGGCAACCCTATTAGTTAGGTTGCTTAATATTTCCACTAAGTACTCTTTAAAATACCAGAATAGGGAGGATGGTGTAGGTTTAAATTTATTAGATTGATCAGTGTTGCTGAACTATAAAATGTTTTGGGTGGAGTGCATTTTTTGCATACAGGTATAACAGAATAGCTTCAATCTCTTGTTTTTTAAAACTTGAGTATGACCTTATACAAAATGCAGCAATATATTTATAAAAAACAGTTTTATTGATTACAAAATACGCTATATCGGATTCATATCGGTATCGGCAGATATCCAAATTTATGATATCGGAATTGGATATTAAAAAGTGGTATCGTGCCATCTCTACTACTGACCTTCATTTCTTCTTTTAACTCATTCCAGAATTTAACTCCCGCTATTGAAATAGACATCCTTTTAAAAGTTCTTCTTACTCTTTGTATTTTTAAATTCCACTTCCCTCTAAAATTATACCTCCCTTCTCTCTCTAAGAACCATTTACTTATTTCGATTGGGAGCATCCCTTTCCTTGCTTTATATATTATTTGCACTGTTTTAAACTTTACCAGATCCTGGAATTTTATAGCTTGCGTCTTAATAAAGACTGCATTTGTGTGAGCCCTATACCCCTCCTGATCCTGAGATTTGATTGTCTGGGTGAAAATCAAATCTCAGGATGTACCACAATTCACGGATCACATTGACTCGGTGGACCAACACATCAAATTCACCAGGGAGGATATGAAAAGTGGCAGGTTAGCCTCTTAGACTGTGAGATTTCTATCAGTAATGGGGGACATTTAAAAGTTGACGTATACTGTAAACCTACACATATGGATCAGTATTTAAGGTTTGACTCTCATCATCCACTGGAGCACAAACCTGGTATCATCAGGATGCTAGAACACAGAGCAAACACCATCCCCACAGACAAAGAAGAACATTTTTATTTCTACATTTTACATCATTTTATTATTTAAGAAATAGTGCACACTCACTTGTGCTGACATCTCATTTGGTGATTTTTTTTGTTTGTTTTTAAGGATACCAGAGAAGAAACCTCTCTTTCCCTGGAAAGGAATGTTTGGTTTTTTTTCTTTTGGCATAAACACAGCAGCAAAATTAATTCAAAGTTACTCCAGACTGCTGCTGTACAGCTTATGAACAGGATCTAAATACATACACAGAATTAGAGCTTTGTGTTTAAATGATGGCATCTTTGCCTCTTTCCTCCTGTGGAGTTTCTCCCCAATGCTAATGCCACTGCAACAAAACTTACATGGGACGTTTCTGATGTTTTCGCCTCTTCTTCAGCATCACTGACGGCTTTACTGACCTGAGAGCAAACAAGAAAAGAGAGTCAAAAAAAATTATCCAACATTAAGTCTACACACTAATCATATAATGTGTGTGTTTTAAATGGAAAAGCAGAACTTTACTTTTAATATTCTTTTATCAGTTTGTACCTGTTTGGATTCTGCGGTTTTTTCTTGCTTGATTTTCTCTACAGATTGTTGGTTTTCTGAGGCCACTTCCTCTGCGCTAGAATCTGGACTCTGCTTTCTGCTGGCCTGAAAAAAAGAGTCAACAATGTGATTGATAAACAAAAAACAAGACGCAAAAAAACCCCCACAAAAACAAATGTGGCTATACCCTAAAGCACGGGCGCCAACATCTACAATTTCTTTACATATGAAACAAGTTGGTCATTAACCAAAACAAAGTATTGTAACAGGCAAATGCAAGTCTCAACAAAGTTACAAATGAAGTGACGTCATGTGCAAACTTAGTAGGCAGTAAACAAAGTAGACCCCAAAAAAACATGTTAAAGACAGGAAGTGTGATTTAATGCAGTGTTGGGGAGTAACGGTATACATGTACAGCTGTTACGTATTTAAAATACAAAATATGAGTAACTGTATTCCGTTACAGTTACCGTTTAAAAAGGTGGTATTCAGAATACAGTTACTTTGTTGAAATAAATGGATTATTTTCCTGTTTCATATGTTAGGCTGTGCCCTTTTTGATAATTCCACGCCGGTGGAAACCCGAACAAAACACGCATTAAGAGGCTCTAATGCCTGTGTCACCTCGACTTGCAGCCCGCATAATCACATGAAGAAATATTTTTTAAAATTAATATTTAAAAAATGATTTAATATGAAGGCAATAGGCAGAGTTTTACAGGCATAGCCCTAAAGAATGTAGCCTCATGGGCAGTGTAGTGCTGCAGGGAGAATGGACTGCCATACCCATTATGTGTCTGTGAGCGCGAGGAGGGAGAAAAAGGAGAGTTGAACAGTAAGAGTTGTGACCGACCAGAAACGGGAGCTGGAAGCATGTAAATATAATAATAACCACTGCAGCCAAAAAGAGTGCCTAACGAGCCCAGTTGTAAGTAAGCTATTAAGACTCGAAGGTTCCGTTGGAGCAGCCTTTCAATGCCGCTCTTTGTCTCTCGCTAGCAAACTTGACCCAGACAACAAAGTAAAGCTAGTTTTCGGCTACGAGTCCAACACGGAACCCGACGTATTAGCCAGAGGTCCCTTTACTATGGTTTGGAGCCGCAGACCTGTTTTATATACGTGGGGAATAGTTTTCTATACGAGATCGCTGCTAAAAGTGCAGCCTTACCTAATGTCCACCCTACTGTTACTCATTTTATATTAAGATTTAAAAATCTAGTTAGTATTGGTATGGCGAGCAACCTTCAGTAAAAGTAATAAATCACACAGCAATAGTACATTCATTTAGTTGTAAAAAGCACAATAATATATTAAGTAATCCAAAGTATTCAGAATACCTACGTAACGGAATACGTTACTAAATACATTTTGGGGCATTTTGGTGGATTGTTAAAATAGGAAAGTGTTTATAAACACCAGAGCTAAATTAAACCAACAAGTTGTTTTCAATTTGTGCAGCCAAAGATATATTTTGTGTTATCGTCTTATTAAATATTCGATCATTTTTGAAAGTAAATCAAGCAACATCAAGGCAAAGTGAAGAAAACCCACACAGTGCAGTTAACACCACCGCGACCATCAGTCAAAGTGTTTGAGAGACAGTAACGCGCAGCAGCCACCACCAACAGAAAGCTCAGGCTGGGCTTCGTACCTTTGGCGATGACTTGAATTGCAACCCTTTCATTACTGCTTTCAGAACGCCCTGCCAACCACAGTCACATGTCACAAAAACAGCTGAGATCACTGACAGTGGAGCGCTTGGTAACACGCATGACACATACCGGTTTGCTGTCGGGAGCCTGTTTGACTGGGACGTCATCAGTCTTTTCCTCTCCATTCGTCATGTAACCCTGAGTAGGAAAAAAAAGAATGCTCAGCACACCAATCCACATTAAAACTAAACTCTGACTACTCAGCTGACCAGAAAGGCTCGGAAAGAGTCACAAACAGCAGCTCTCATATGTGGAGAGACCTGGCAAAATGGGCTGGATTATTATTCTTATTTATTTAAATGCTGCAGAGGTCTTTAACTTTTTAATCTCATGATGTGATGTACTTTGTTTATACAGATACTATGTTTTTATTTTTTGTTAATGCTTCAAATTCTCATATTTTCATAATTTTCCCAACTTTGATGTGAGCGACTGAAGCGACTACCAATGAGAGTGAAGGACACTGGTGATTCATTTGTGGCAAGGTGGTAAATACACAAGATTGTTACTTAGGCAATTGGCACATTTTCTAGCAAGTGACCATCAACGACAAAGCAATGCGTGACAATGTGCGCTTTTTGTCTGGACACCGCTTTATGTTTCATTTATACATCTGCGTTGAATCTATGTAGACCTTACAATGTAGCCCACAAGACTATCCAAAGACAGCATTCACACCTGTGCAGGTGGATGAATATTAGTTTGCCCTACTGCACAGGGTTTCGGGAATGTTTCAATTACAATGTACCTACCACAGATTCAACGCAGAACAAACATCCCTTATTAGTCCTAACACTGATTCCTCTGCTTGAGGGTTTCCAGACTGGCAAGAAGACAGGACGAGTGGCGAGTCAA